TTTATATTCTTATCCTCTGTCTCATTTTTGCTGCTGTTCTTTGGATCTCCTCCCTCCAGTTAGGAACAGCTGTCTCTGAAAAGAGTTAAACTTCTTGCTACTGCTGGAGGCAGGATTCTGGGCTAGTTGAATCCCTGGTTTGTCTTTGACTGTTCCTTCATGCTCCAGTTTTAATGTTTTGTGTTGAAGTGTATTGAATACTGAAACTGCAAGAATGCTAACACTATTCAGGGCAGGATACCACAGCATCTGGGAGATTGCTGTAGTGGAACAATTAGCTACTTCTTGGTATCCGAACTTGCTGACCAAGAGGTAACTGAATCCCTTATTTTGGTACCATATTAGTGATGTGGTTCTACATTATGTCCTAGGCAAAGGTATTTTTATTTATTCATGTCTTCTAGATATGACTGCCTGTGAAGCTATGTTAATCTTTGGAACATTTACCTTTAAGACTATAAAACTGACTTGTGTGTTCATGAATATCTGCAGTTAGGCTGCAACTTCACATCTGTCAATGGTTTGAAGAAGAGGAGAAATCCCACTTTGTGCTCTGTCTTGCTGAAGGAAACTAAACCCTTGTAAATACTGTGTCTGTCTGCAATTGTTACCAGTGTATTAGGGAGGAAAATGGAGATGGTGATGGTGAGTGGTTTTATTGTTACTTTAAAGATGAAAGCTTCTGTATTGTAGTGAAAACCTTGTATGTTGACACTGACTGCATTTGTATTCCTAAAATTAAGCATCTCTGTGAGATGGCTTCATATAAGCATTTGTATTGACAGCTTTGGCTGGAATGCTTTGGAGCTGTGCTGTGACCTTTAGCTTTGTGTTGGTGACTTTTTGTTACTTGAGACTAACCAGTTCTGCCATTCTAAGGAATTCTCACAGTCTGTAAATCATCATTTACAGCTTGTCCCAACAGTAATATGTGTAAATTAGTTGCTTCTAAGGGTCATTAGTAGTCTTTTCAGTTAACTAGAACAATATTTGTAAGGTGCTTTGATTTATTTTGCAAGCTTTTTGGTCATATTGTCTTGTTCTAGATTAACATTTAAATAAGATTACTTCTAAAAAATTGAATTTAAATAGCATATCCCTTCCTGTTTTGTAATCAAGTTGCATGGGAAGATGATGTCCCTTAGTGTGCTTTCTGTTTCTTTCCATGTGTGGCTAAGTATCCTATTCTCATTACACCTTACCAGGAATCTCTCAGTGTATCAAACTTTCAAGCAAAATGTTTAGCTATTACAGCGCCAAGTTTTTGAGATTTTTCTTCCACGAAAATACCCTTCCTTTTTTATCCCACAGCTAGTATTCACATGTGGCCAGGTAAAACTGCCATGCTTCTCACACTTTGGCTGCTGTATGGAGAGTTCTAGTGGACCATGAGATTGCCATGTCCGGGTAGTTTGTTGCATCCCTCCTTCTTTGAGGGTAGTGGATGTGGTTGATTGGTTGGCTACCTGGAGAGAAGACCCCCTGGGACAATTCAGGAGGTTTGCTGCTTTAGAAAATTATCTGTCTAGTTTTCAGTTTTGTAGTATAAGTAGATGAGAATCTGTTCTTTGAAGCTCATAAAAACATGAGCTTGCTAGGTAGACTGCTTTCAAGACTGGTTAATTGTTGCTGTATGGTAGAGGGCTTGAACCCTTTTTAAGGGGGGGAACCTTGAAAGTACGATGTGTTCACATAAGAAACTCTTCTATTGGTAATTGGTTATTAAATTAATGCTTAGTTTGGTAGAACAATAACTTGTTACTCTTAAAACAATACTTACATATTTTAGGAATTGTCAAGAAACCTTTTGAACTGATAATGTTGATGTAATACGTAGAAATACCTCAGACATGTTGGAGTAGATGAAACTACAGCTGTGGTGGGAGGATTTGATAAGAGCTTAGATCCAGAGGAATTACTGAAGTAGTTAAGGACTGGCCTTATTAACTCAAGTTAATCAAGATATGTGGTAAGTAGATGCAGATTGATTAACAGTTGTTAATTAATTGCATATGCAGCTGATAAATTGCTGCAGTTGCGTTTGGCATCCTTGCCTCTTAAGGCATCAGACATCCTAAACTATATTCTTGGGTAAAATGTCTCACTTACTGCTAACTTGGCATAAACCCCCTAACTTCAGAGGGAGTTAATGGAAATCCTGTAGTGTGAGTTAAAATAATGAGTTACAAGAATTGTTAAATTTTTGTGATACGTAATTTGGAGGAGAGTCCCTTTTCTTTTAAATCCACTTAACCACTCTGTATTTGTGAAGAAGAGGCAAACCTTCACATCTCATCTGAATTTATGAAACAATCCAGTGTTTTAATTTCTCCAAATACAAAGTTGTTTGCATGTGAGATTGATTTTACACTGGGATTGTGATGCTGGGAAAATATGAGTGTAACACCACCATTGCCTTCACTTAATTGCTGTGCTGTCCTAGTGTATGTAGAATTGCAGTTGACAGTTCAGTTTGCATCTTTGCAGCTGTGGAAGTACTGCATTTGTGTTTGTTCCATGGCTTTCATCGGTGCTAAAATATGTTTAAGTATACTGAAATCTACACACTGTTGTGTCTCATGCCCTCCCCCCCCCAATCTACAACCATATAATCAAGGTTTCATATACTCAGTAAGATTGACCTTGGGAAGAGACCATAATTGCATAATTACCCTGTCTGGATAACTAACGATCAAACTGGGAGGTTGGCAGTCATCTAGAACCTTGGCTGTGTTTCTCTAATCCCATTTTAGGCTATTTAGATTAAAAATTTAGTGTACTGGCAACGTTCTGCTCAGTTAATGAATGAACTACATAGAAGCTTTGTCAAGTTGATAGCTTGATAATCTAGTAGGCAATGTCTGAGAATTTGCTTCTATAGAATGAAATCATGAAGTGGTATAGGACTTGGTTTACAAGAGAGCTTAATATCTTCTGCTTCCACCAGTTTTAATTAATCTGATATCTGAATCAAGTATTCAGATATTTGAAAATCAGTCCCTGTGTTTGTGTGTGTGTGTGTTTGGTTTTGGTTTTTTTCTTCCCATTTGTTGTGTCAGACGAAGCTGAAGTGTTTATTGCTGTTGGGTAGGTAGCATGCTTCATTTTCTTCTGAGCTCAGGCATGTGGACAAGCCATTGTTTGCCAAGTTTCAGAGGCAAGCTTGCTTTTTCACTCAAAGCATTTTGATTGCCCCACTGTTTTATACATAATTGGTTGTAATTAGAGATGTGTTTCCTACCATTGATACATTTAGAAGCAGTGAAATGGTAATCACTCCCACTACAAACCTGCCTTTCAAAAATAAGGTAAAGTGGCTCAGAGTCTGGCTGCTGCCAACAGTGATATGGAAGTCTGTGCAGGTAGTATGAATTATTTGTAAAACAATTTTTTTTTTGTTATACAATGTATATATTTTCAGTTACTTATCCAGATGCAGTTAGACTTGGCAAAGGTTAGGGGACCCCTGGTTAAGTTGGTCCTTAGTCTGTTTTGTATCCTCTGTTTCTCCTAAATGAGAAATCTTGCCGTGATTTTGATCTACTGTGCCCACCTTTATTTCTCTTATTTGGCCCATTTATAAGTAAAATTAACTGATCAGCTTCATAATAATGGTTGTGGTTCAGGAGTCAAGATATTGTCAATCAGCTGACTGTTGGGGAGGCAACTTAATGTTTTGTGAATATCTTTACGTGTGCGAGTGCCTTATAAGAAGTCAAATTGGTTAGCACTATCAGAGGCTGTTGCTGAGTTACCTTTAGATGCAAACAGAAATGCTGTGTAAACAGCTGCAATATCTGGTGTGGGAGGGTGAGTGTAATTACACCATATAAATGGAATTATGTATTTTGGACACCATTTAAGATGGTACTTGTCTTTTACTATGTCTTGGTATAGAAAGTTGAACAGCAAGATTTCAAAATGCACAAAACTCTTCGCAATCTCTATTCCAGAGATTTATTCCAGTTTTTCTATGCAAATTCATCAGATCTGGAAGTAGTGGAAACTACTCTCTTTTTTCTTTTTTTTTTTTCTTTTGGAGGAACTCTACTTTTTGTAGAACTGTACATGGAGCAGTGTGCTCCTTCAAGTGCTACCTCTTCTTGGTGTGCTTTCAATATCCATATGATGACCTGCACAACTAGACCTTCAATTTTGTGTCAGGTTTCTCAGGATACTCTCTTTTGTTTTTGTTTTTTGTTTTGTGCTTGGTGAACTATAGTTAATAGAAGCTTCATTTTGTGTTTGAATAGTGTGTAGAACTGCTAATTTTTGTTTAAACTCAGACTGGTGAAACGAGTTTGTGGCTTAGAAAGGCAAGACTATGCTTTAATGGTGATTGCTTCCTGCCTTGGTAACTTTTCAGTTAGCAGATGGTCAGTCTGAAGTGGAAGCATAGCACAAATTACTTGTCTTTTTTCAACTTCTCTTCCTTGAAGAATATATTTTTGTAGCCAAGAGCAATATAATAGATAAACTTGTGTTTTCAGAAGCTGTGGAAGTTCTTTTGTTTAGGAATGAAGGAATGGTCATTTAGTCACACTGCACTTTTCACCTGAGATCTCATGATGTCATCTCTTACTCTTGTCAAAACAGAAAATGCTGATGGGTTGTACAGCTTTGTTGTATGGATTATTGCTTAGTAAGAAAAAGTAGTTTTATTTTTTTAAACTAGATACTGAAAAATGTAGAACTGTCAAATTACTATTTCAATGCAGTTGAGTCATGAAAGAGTTTAGCAAATGATAGGCATGATTTTGTCTGCATGGAAATAGCTGTGAAATTTGCAGATACACAAAATCCTTGTTTAACCTAAATACTAGTATAGTGCATTATCAAATATGGAGTTGTCAAAGGTTAATAGCTGTTTTATTGTTATTTGTCATATTATGGACTTGTTTATCTACATATTACAGTGTTATCATAAAGCTACAGTGTTAGTATACCTTCTTAGCATTTTCAGACTCTAGAATGAATTAATTTTTTTCTCTTTCTGACAGTCAAGAATCCCTTCAGTGAAGAACTACAAAAAATAGAAGTAAGTAAACCTACTTCATATTGAGATTTTAGTCTGTCCAATGACTGTATAATAACAATACATATTGTTCAGAAGGATGTAGTTTCAGGATGTTTTGTATGAGATGAACACAATTCTTGCAACTAATGTTTTATTTTTTTGTTTTTCATCTTGGGCAATATAACTAGGGTTACGAGTTTTGGCTGTGGCATGCTGGTTGCTTTATATACTAAGAAAATGTTACATAATCTGTGTTGTAGAGCTATGAGGAAAATGTTTTAAGTTTTGAGACTAAATTTATCACTGTCTCTTACTGTTACCATTTAGTTTTTCAACCTTGAAAGGACAACTGGTAAGACATTATTGACTTTGAAACTCTAGGGTCTTATGTAGTGCCATAGAAGAGCAAGGGTTAGCCTCCTTCAGAAAATGGATTTAAAAGTTTGCTTTTTTCACTCTGATTCTATTCTGTTACTTGTTCCTATATTCACTCTTTCAACTGGAATATCAGGATAACCATTTCTGAGATGTCACCATTGAAGGTATCTGTATTATTCTTAGTTGTGCAGCATGTGTTTTGGTGGTTCTCTTCTGGCCTTCAGTCTTTCTGCCTGGACTGTAATCACTATGTAAACACAGTGATCTGCTTTTGCTAGGCATACATAAGCAAGTATTGCAAGATAATTTTGTGGGGTTTGCTGGGTGTTTTCTTTTAGTTTTGTTTTTTTTTTGTCTAGGATTGAGCTCTCCAGAAGGGAATAATTGTGTATTTTAACTTGTCTAGTTTCTAGTTTCTTGGGTAGAAAATGATTCTGAATCTTTTGAGCAAATTGAATTTTGTGGGGTAAATTCTGAGGATTCTTTCAGAATGACTAGTAGTGCAGTGAGAACGATGTATCTTGTGCACTGGGTTTGACAGCTTGAGAACTTGTTTTGTATGTTAGTTTCTTCTGTGTTTCTTGTGCACTTTTCCATAGTAATCCTACTCCATCTTGATTTGTTCATTGGCTTCAAAGGTTATACTGTTCAGTTCCTTCCTTTGGTCTGACTGTTAATTTACAAAAAAAAGAATTTGGTCACAGTTGTTTCGTGTACCTGTCTCAATGTAGCTATTACTAAAGTCATGGGTGTATGTATCTTCTGATGTGCCCAGTATTTTCCAGCCAGGAAGTGATTTAAGGTTAGTTAGTTTCCTGGGGAGTACCAACTATATCAGTTTAATCTCAGTGATGTTTTTGTAGGACCAGAATGAGGAGAGGTGATGCTGGTAACTGTTTATATTGTCTATGGGAATTAATTTCTCAAATATTTGCTCATTGAAAGTAGTATTCTGCTTTTTGGTAGCAGTTTTCTTATGGAAAAAAATTGGAGTATTCAAATTTTAAAATAATGTCAGTGCAGATGTATCAGGGAATTAAAATATATTTGTTTTTTTTCTTTGTGAGTATAATTCAGCAGATGCGCAAGCTGGAAAATTACTTTCTTTGCATATTTTCTGAATAAAGGCTCTAGCATTATCTCAGCCATTTGACTGCCCCAGGAGTCAGAGCCAACTTTAAAAAGAACACCCAATGTTTTAGAATGGCCATTAGTCCTCAGTGTATGTAACTGCATGTTCCTCATCTTCAAATTTTGAATAATTTCTTCTAATATAAAATGTTCCTGGATATATTTTAATTAAATTGCTTAATATCTTGATAAGTTTAGCTCCCCTGTAAGTAACAATTACATGACATCTCATATTCCTGCCTGTTTTGGGAGTTAGGCCTTTTTATATTAGTGGCATATGCAGGAATTATCAACAAAGGTGTATACTCCATGGCTTTCTGGGTTTTTGTTTCTTTTCTTGCTGTTTTGTTTTTTAATTAAGTTACTGAAGTTTGAACGTAGAGAGCAAAAATCTTTACTTTGCTATGGATTTTATGCAGGAATGTGACCAGATAGTACTTTAGTGTGGTTTGTGTGATATGTCACTGCACATTTATTCTTAATAAAACTGCTTTGGTTTTATGTAGTAGCTATCAAAAAACCTAAAACAACCACTAGACTTTTTCTGGGTCACTGCATTATTCTTTCAATAGTATTAAAGTAACCTTTTGAGCTGTCAGTCTTAACTGGCAATCTAGTTTAGTTTCGGTCAAGATCTGAAAAATCAATATTGTGAAAACTTAGCTTCAAAATCTATTGCTTGCATCGCTGTTGATTTGTGAAACACTACAGCTTTGCACCTGTATGTGTAAAACCTTTCTTTTTTCCTCATGGTATATATAAATATTTTGGGGGTTAATGTAACAAAATGCATCTCTACTAATGTTTGTTTTAACATTAATATGTTTTTCTAATTCTAGGAAGATGAAAAGATGAATGTTCTCATGATGAACAGCTTATATGCACTTCATGATAAATTGGCACAAGTAGCAGGTAACACTTCAAAAATATTGTGACTAAGAGTGTTATGGCAACAGCTACGAAGAAGTCTATGCTCAGATAGTGATTTGTAACAACTGGTATATGATGGGGCCCTGATAGTTCCATTTTGGGAAACTAGAAATCCCATTTCTTGTTCACTTACACTGCCTTTTTCACCAGTGTAGCACCTTTTATTGCAATGTTTTTTAATTAACAGGATAGGCTGTTGAATATTGTGATCCTGTACGGTTCTTGCTCTTAATGCTTTATTAATCTGATTTTATTAAAAGATTTAAATGTGCTATATGTACAGAGAATATGCATGTCTTTTAAAGGTTCCACTGTGGTGGAAATATGCCTGAAAAACAGTATTTCGCAGCAATCAGAAAAAGATTACTAATACAATGAACAGTCGTGGTTGAACAAGATTGCGATGTTAGACAAAATAGTCTAACTTAACCATACTAATTATATAGTAATGAAAATTGCTGTAGATAGTAATGTCAGATATGGTGTTTAGGATTAGTATTAATTACTGAATATTCAAAGTAAAAAATATGGTGCTTTTGCCTAGGTTCATGATTAACACAGCTTTAAACTGCATAGATACTTGCACATCACAATCAGGAAATAGTAGACTGGTTTTATAACTGGCATTTGGTGAGTGTGTGTTACAGCAGAATCTTATTTCATGATTATTAAGCCATTTATTTATCTATCATCTTTGCTTATTTAATCCATGATGAGTTTAGGAGCCAGTGGTTAATTTTTTTTGGGGGGGTGGGGGGTGTTAAGCCTTTCTGTTCTTTGTGCCAACTATTTGTTTTGCAACAGTAACTTCTACCAAGAAGGCTTTTCCACTATTATCAGGTGCTACAGACATTTCTCAAACATTAAAAAACGTGGAAAAAATTCTTGTCACATAGGAGGCTGATGATTTAATATGTCTTGACTATATAGGAAATCTCTGAGAAATTTGAGCAGTTCTGTAATACCTTTAAATTGCAAGAGTAATCTTCCTGCAGAAGCTTTTTGTTTTCAGGGCATTTACAATATCCATGGTGATTAAAATAGATGTTTGGACAAAACTCATAAATTTCTTCTTGTTTACATTATACTTTAACCCAAAATAGAGAAAGAATGATGTTTAACCTGAGTGCATGCAAAATAATAATTGCTTTAGTCTTAATTTTGTTGCTTTCTGTCTGTGAATGCCTTGCACTGTTCATCTTTCATCTTTCATCTGTTTCAAAGTATTTCATACTTAATAGCTGTTAGTAGATAATTCTGTGCTTTAAGTCATTGGGGCCAAAAGGTATTTTTTCCATGCAGAGTAGCCAACCTGTGGTGTATAGGAATGTTTTATAAGACCCACAGATGTGTGCAGTAGAGCACTTACTTGTATGAAGAAGTAACAGGTTATGCTTCCTCTCTCTCTTTTGAAATGAAAATGTAACAGCTTGCTTTTCTCAGTGTGTTGTCTAGCCCTCCAGTGGCCATACAGTAAACAGTGTACTTGCCTAGATAGAAAGGTTTGGAATCTCATTTCTACATTTGCGAAAGAAAGGGAGTTGTATTCATTAGCTGGGGCTTACTTATATGCATGTGCACTAATAAAAATGTTTACCTGTCTGCCTTATGAGAGAAATTTGTATGCTCCAAGATGATTGTGTTCTTCACCAGGTGCATTAATCTCTATTCTTGGCCAGGAGAATCTTCAGTACTTACTTTTAAAAAATAAAGCTATACTCTCTTGTCAGACAATTCCCCAATCTGAAGCCATATTGCAAGAATACTGGATCTCAGAGTAGCTTTTGTAAGTCTAAAGAATGACCTAATTCATCTGTACTTAAACAGAAGTTGTTCTCAAAGCCAAGTTTCATAAGGTATGAGAGGAAGAAGTCTGCCATCCATTCTTGAACACTGTATTGATGTAGACCTGGCATAATATCTGGAAGCTCTTTAAAAACTCATAGAACAGAGAAAGCTGCTAGAGAGATGCAGGATTTAAAAGTGTTGATCTTGTACACAGTGTACCACTTCAAAAGAGAGAAGTAAAGGAATGTAGTTTTACTAAAAGTAGTGCTTTTCAGGTCTCTCTGTCACATACTTGGAAAAGTTTCTCTCATTTCATACTTGGCTATGAATCATTTGTTCATGTTATAACTATTAATATTAAAAAGGCAGGCTGGAAACTTACAGTAGTCTAGTCTGTTAAGCTTTATTCAACATCTGGACTACCATAAAGATGGTTGCTTCAGAATTTGTTTTCTATCTCTTTGTTTTATTAGACTACTTATATTTTTTTTCTGAGCTAGCTTCTTGCCTTGTCAACTTCAGTTGGAGAGCAAGTGATGGGGCTTTTATTTTAGAAGGTAAAACACTGAATGCTGTTTGAAGGAAGAAAAAATAGGGTAACAGTTTGTTCTTTTTATTTGGCTTAATATATTGTGTTCCAGCTGTTGATGCCTAATCTGTATGGTGGTGCTTTATGATGTGAAATGATTTAATTATCCTATATAAAAATAGATTGCCTTTAATGCATTACTATTCTCAGAATTACTAGTCTGCCAAACCTATGGTGAATTATGTGTAACTCACAGGAAACTCTACTCATCCAGTTGAGTTGAAGTTTGTGTTCCTGTGTTGTTGTCTAATGGTTCAGCCTTTCTTCAAAGCAGCAACTTTTTATAGATAGTATATATTTCAGTGCCTAACAGTTTCTCCTAAACCAAAATGTGATTTATTTAAATTAGATTTCCTCATGCATATGCTAATTACTGGATGTCTTGGTCTTTCATGGAGAGACTTCAATAGATCACATCCATTTTCAGTCAGGCTTGCCAGATGAATAAACCTAAATACTATATCCACAAGAAGCATCCAACTACCCATGGGTATGGCCTTACTTTCTTGTATATAAAGAATTTTTCTTTAGTTAGATGTTTCTTTTTGTTTGGCATTCCCCATGGAGTGATGATCTATCAGTTTTAGGTGGTTTCCTTCTGAGCTAATGGACAGTACAAGTCCTTGAGATGCAGGAATGAATTAGACTTCCGTATGTAATAAGGCTTACTGATAAATTCATGGCTATAAGAAAATCCTGGCAAAATCCTAGATATTACTTACTGTTAATTTCAAGTGTCAGCTACTGTGTCTGATTGCTGTCACAGGCTATCTGTTCTGTCACTCTCTGTAATCTTTAGTTCTTCAGGTAATTGATACTGTGCTGTTTCCAAGCAGTGATTTAAAGACTATTTAGCAAGTTCTGGTTTTCCACAGTGTTATGAAAACTGTTGAATTTGCCTTTGGGAGATCAGACATTCTTAACTTGATCTGACAACACTTGTTCTGCTCCTGCTTTTCTTCAGCTACCCACTTCAGTGTCCCACTGCAAGTAACCTCTAAGCATTAGACCTGCTAAACAAATGTTTTATACACTATTTCCTTTTTGTATTGGTTGACTGTCATACTAAGCTGTAACCTAGAGATCTGTGCTAAATTCATGTGTTCCTTGGTGTATTAGATTTCCACTGGGGTTTGGTTCTGGTATTTAAAGAGAATGGTTTACATTGTAAAGCAAGTATTTTGAAACTCAGAATACTTCTGTTATCTATATATGCTGCAGTGCGTAAATTAAGCTAAACACCCAAATGAAAGTCAGTTTCAAATATTCTAGCCTGCATGTAAAAGTAGATCTGATTGATTTTCTGTATTGAAAGCAGTTGTGAGAGCAGATTTAAATGTTTCTTTAGAACTAGGCTTTAGTTGCTTTGTGTTAGTATTTCTAGGAGAACAACTCAACTTGTGGCTTGCCCAAGTACTCTAACATAAGCTAAAAGGTAATTTTGGGATCTGTTATGTCTCACCTCCCTACAATGGCAAGTAGAATGATTCTTTGATTGCAATAGAAATTGAAGTGATCTGTGCCTGAGAAAAGTTGAACACAAAGATTGCAATAGATATTTTAACAAAGGGACAGTTTTTACAAAGAACTCGGATGCATCTTGCAGCAGACCTGTGTAAAGGGTTTTTTTGCCTCTGCTTCAGTTTTATTTCTGGATACAGGGCCTCAAATGGAACAGTTGGGAAACATTTTTGGCGCAGACTATGGAAAGTGGGTTTCCAAGCCAAGTGGTTAATGATTGCACCAAAGTTATTCAAAGTAAGCCTTCATTTGCAGAACTATTAGCTAAAGCGGTGACTGAAATGGCATATAGGAATATCCTGCTGTTTGCAGTAAAACAGAAGGTTGTCTGACTTGTGAATTGCCTGACTTTCTGCAGGCTTTCAAATTCATGAGTTTCTCAGAAGAAAGCTGCTAAATGGTTCTCAGCAATAGATGGATTGGAGTGAGAAACTGCATTTCCAACAGTTTTTTGTACCGGACTGAAACTCTGTAACTCTTAATTAGTTTACTCAGTTCAAGAGTGGGAGGCAGGATTAAAGTTGTTGGTTTGGGTTTGTTGTTTTTTTTTTTCCCAGCATTGCATGAGGGTAATTTGAACTGATAGGCCTTAGACATTGTCAGAGCCTAGGCAGCAAAGGTGCTTTTAACTGTTACATTTGTTCAGAGGAAATATAGTCTGAAGAAAATTGCAGAAGCAGGACTTTGAGGAAGTTGTCTGGTTTTTGAAGACGAGACCTGAAGCTGTGAAGTCAGTGTGTTGGCTGTATACTGCATAAACATAATTCCTGAAAGAAGGCAAATAAGTTTAGAATTTAAAGGTACTAAAGTAATGCAATAGTCCCATATTAAGGAGAGAATTTGTCGTCTTGTAAGAGGCAATGTTGTATTCTTGTGAGATTGTGATAAATTCATTTAAAAAAAAAAAAGTTTCAAGATTCATTTGGGATTTTCAATCTGGTTTCCTGCTTCTGTGTTTTATTTATTTGCTGTGTATTAACCTCACCCTTTTATTCTTTCTTATTTCATAAATGGGCTTTCCTTCTTATCTATGTAATCAAAAACCAAGCTGATCTGTTCAGTCAGATTGATTCACATGCTTTTTCTATATTAGACCCTAGGAAGACTTTAGAACTTACTGAACAACAACAAAAAAGGCATAAATATATCTATCAGACTTGGTCATGTCATACAACTTAATACCAGATCAGTATTGTAGGTGTGGCTTTTACAGAGATAAATTTTGGTTTTCTTGTATTTCATAGAATGGTGTGGGATGGAAGGGACATTAAAGATGATCTAGCACTAATTCCCTTGCCATGGGTAGGGACACCTTCTGCTAGATCGCGTTGCTCAAAGCCCCGTCCAACCTGGCCTTGAACACTGCCAGGGAGGGGGCAGCCACAGCTTCTCTGGGCAACCTGCTCCAGTGTCTCACCACCCTCACAGTAAAGAATTTCTTCCTTATATCTAATCTAAATCTACCCTCCTTCAGTTTAAAACCATTGCCCCATGTCCTATCACTACAGTCCCTGGTAAAGAGCCCCTTTCCCATCTTTCCTGTCGGCCTCCTTTAACTACTGGAAGGCCACTATAAGGTTTCCCTGGAGCCTTCTCTTCTCTGGGCTGCACAACCTCAACTCTCTCAGCCTGTCCTCATAAGGGAGGTGCTTCAGCCGCCTGATCATCTTCGTGGCCTCCTCGGGACCCACTTGAGCAGGTCTGTGTCCTCCTTATGCTCTGGGGGTCCCAGAGCTGGACACAGTAGTGCAGGTGGGGTCTCACAAGAGCAGAGTAGAAGGGGAGAATCACCTTACTCGACCTGCTGGCCACACTTCTCTTGATGCAGCCCAGGACACAGTTGGCTTTCTGGGCTGTGAGCACACATTGCTGGCTCGTAAGTCAGTTTTTGATCTGCTGATACACCCCCAGGTCCTCCTCCATAGGGCTGCTCTCAATCTGCTCATTGCCCAGCCTGTATTTGTGCTTGGGATTACCCCAACCCATGTGCAGGACCTTGCACTTGGCCATGCTGAACTTCATGAGGTTTGCACAGGCCCACCTCTCGAGCCTGTCAGGGTCCCTGTGGATGGCATCCCTTCCCTCCAGCGTGCTGACCACACTGCATGGCTTGGTGTCATCAGCAAACTTGCTGAGGGTGCACTCAATCCCACTGTCCCATGTCTCCAACAAGGAAGTTAAACAGCACCAACCCCAGAGGAACACCACTTGTCCCTGCTCTCCACTTAAACAGTGAGCTGTTGACCGCAGCTCTCTGAGTGCAACCACGCAGCCAGTTCCTTACCTACGGAGTGGTCCATCTGTCAAATCCATGTCTCTCCAATTTAGAGACGATAACATTGTGTGTGACAATGTCAGATGCTTTGCACAAGCCCAGGTAGGTGATGTCAGTTGCTTTTCCCTTATTCACCAATACTGTGACCCTGTTGTAGAAGGCCACCAAACTTGTCAGGTGTGATTTGCCCTTGGTGAAGCCATGTTGGCTGTCACCAATCACCTTATTTCACATGTGCCATAGCAGAGTTTCCAGGAGGGTCTGCTCCATGATCTTGCCCAGCACAGAGGTGAAACTGACTGGCCTATTAGGTCCTTTTTTTCCCTTTTTAAATATGTGGGTTGTGTTCCCCTTTTCCAGTCAGTGGGAACTTTACCAGACTGCAAAGACTTCTCAGCTATGATGGGTAGGCTTAGCCACTTCGTCTGCTAGTTCCCTCAGGATCTGTGGGTGCATCTCTTCAGGTCCCAGGGACTTGAGCACCTTCAGGTTTCTTAGATGGTCTTGAACCTGATCTTCTTCTACAGTAGGTGGTCATCAATCCTTCTCCCAGTGATGGCCTTTTCCATCTGCCTCTTGGGCCATGTAGCTGGAGCCCTTGGTGGTGAAGACTGAGGCAAAAAAGTAATTGAGTACCTCAGGCTTCTCCATATCCTAGGTAACTAAATCTCCTATTTCCTTCCCAAGAGGGTCTGCAATTTTACTTATCTTCCTTTTATTATCAATGTACCTATAGAAGCTTTTTTTATTTCCTTTGACATTCCTGGCCAGATTTAATTCTGTCAGGGCTTTGACCTTCCTAAACTGATCCCTGGTTGCTTAGACAGTTTCTCTGTCTTCTTCCCATCCACCTGTCCTTGCTTCCACCATCTGTAGACTTCTTTTTTGTGTTTGAGCTTTTCCAGGTTCTCCTTGTTCATCCATACAGGCCTTCTGGCATTCTTACCTGACTTCCTCTTTGCCTGGATGCATCCCTCCTGAGCTTGGAGGAGGTGATCCTTGAATACGAACCAGCTTTCTTGGGCCCCTCTTCCCTCCAGGGCTTCATCTTGTGCTACTCTGCTAAGCAGATCCCTGAAGAGGTCAAAGCCTGCTCTCCTGAAGTTCAGGGTGGTGAGCTTGCTGTGCATCCTCCTCACTGCCCTAAGGATCTTGGACTCTACCATTTCATGGTCACTACATCCAAGGTTTCCCTTGAGCGTCACACTCCCCACCAGCCTCTCCTTCTTGGTAAGAGCAAGGTCCAGCGTAGCACCTCTCCTTGTTGGTCCTCTATTGCTTGGAAAAGGAAGTTATTATCAACACGTTCCAGGAACCTCCTGGATTGCTTATGCCCTGCTGTGTTGTCCCTCCAACAGATACCAGGGTGGTTGAAGTCCCCCATGAAGACCAGGGGTTGTGAACATGAGGCTGCTTCTATCTGTGTATAGGGGGCTTCATCCACTTGGTCTTCCTGGTCAGGTGGCCTGTAGCAGACCCCCACTATAATGTCTCCTGTCCCTGCCTTCCCTTTAATCCTGACCCATAAACTCTGGGTCGGCTCCTCATCCATCCCCAGGTGGAGCTCCATGCACTCCAGCTGGTCACTGACATAGAGGGTGACACCCCCACCTCGTTTCCCCTGCCCATCCTTCCTACAGAGCCTGTATCCTTCCATTCCAGCACTCCAGTCATAGGAGTCATCCCACCGTGTCTCAGTAATGCCAATAAAATTGTAGGCCTGCAGATGTGCACGCAAGCCTAGCTCTTCTTGTTTGTTCTCGGTGCTACATGCATTTGTGTAGAGTCATTTCTAGATTTAAAAACCATACATTTACACTAGAGACTATATATGAGTGTGACATGTTATCCAAAGTTTGCTGATCTTGAAGTGTGAAATCACTGATGATCATGCATGTAAATTTACAGGTTGTGGAGTTTATATGTCACAGAAAGAATGGCTGCCTAAAATTACATACAAGAGTAGCCTGTAACTCCAGCTATGGTGCTGACTTCTAAATTCAGAGTGTTCTTTGACAAAGATGGTGTCAGTTTTCATTGGTGTTCTTCTGTAGTTTTGCTGTACCAGTGACTCAGGCACTTTGGAAGTCTAAGATGTTACATGTTAATTATCAAGTGAATCAACTTAAAGTAGTGTCTTTTCTGCTCAGTGCTTTCTTGAAAATATGCATATGCACACAGGCTTAGTTCCAGCAGCACTTCTAAGCCAGACACTCTTAAAAACAGTGTTTCTATTCTTTATCCTAACAGTAAGAGAAGAGAATCCTTGTTATGCTGATGTCCTTGAAAGGTCGATTTCACTTAAATCTGTTGAAGCATATTGAACAAAACTTGCTTTAACAGTCTGAGAAGGACTTTCATGTCATAGAAACACCTACTTCCTTGAAACTCCCTACTGTGAATGAGACATGAAGATGCTTCTCGTTAACTTGGTTTTCTAGTTTTTGCTCAGATTGCCTCGAATGTTCTTGTTTGTGTAGGGAATTAATACTTGAAGTTTCTCCGTTTAAAGGGTATTTCAGTGTGGAGTAATTCCAACTTTAAATACTTTGTAAGAGTATAAGCAAAGCTTTATATCTTGTATATGCGTGAGTATCTTGAACTTTCTTAGCCTCACTATGGCTTCGGGAGTAACACAGCTTGGCATAGATTCAGGAAGGTAAGGTAGGTATAACCTTGAGCCAGTGAAAGACTGGGTTTGTTTCCTATTTCGTTGTTTTGGCACAGTAAAATCATAGTTCTAGATGCCAAGATATTTTGTTTTAGAAAGATCAGGAAGAAACTGATTTGCCACTCCCTGACAATTCTTCAGAACTGATGGCCTAGTGATAGATAAAACTGGTGTTAGACCTTTTTTTCTGTGTGACTTTGTGTTGGTATGATTGTTACTACTTTTTTTTTTTTAATGTACCTTAAGTTTAGCAAAGAAAATCAGGAAGATCATGGCAAGTGTCTGTGAAGCCTGACTGTGCATATAATCCTTATTTCCTGACTACTTCTGCATACTTTCCAAATGAATTAGGAGGATGGTAAAACCACCAGTTTCAAATCATATTGGGATTTTGTGCATATTCAGGAAGGTGGGGAATTACTGCGATAATCTGGCCAAATATAAAATAGTTCCTGAAATACTATTATGGCTGTGTTGCAGCTGGAACTAACCTGGTTTCTATAAAAAAAAAAAAATATCCATGTTTCAGAGTAAATGGAAATTATTTGGAAGAAGCTGAGTCAGGGTACAGCAACTGTTTTATGGTAACATCCTTCGATAGTTCTTCATACTACCTTTTGTACTACTTTCATTGTGTACATACTGAAATATATTTTCTGAGCAGTACATGAAGTTGTATTGATGTGATTTGCACATACTATTAGCAGTGACAATCTCAAGGTTTTTTTAACTGTCTTGAAGTTTGTGCAGAGCTTTTTCCATATTAGTGAAAATCATTGAGGTACTGCTGCTTATGTAGACTGTGTTAACCATGAGTTTGTGTCTAAGTGGTTTTGGTTTATATAATGCAGTAATAAGTAGATCAAAATAAACAAAATTTTAATTTTACCAGGGGAACACGAATGCGGCAGCTCTATTCAAAGAAATCTTACCATCCAGGAGGCAGCTGCATATTTAAAAGTAAGCAAATGAGGTATTTTTCACTGGTTGTATATAAGATTTGTATAAATTACAATTTTTAAGGCCTGGTTTCATATCTAGTGTATTAACTAAAATTTAACTTAGCATTGAATGTTATTTGGAAATGTTTGGAATTTATGTCTTTAACACATGCTACTTATGATTTTTATTTGGAGATGTAGCGAGGTTTTGAGGGACAGGGCAGGTTAAAGAAACTGGCTTAATTGCGATGAAAGGGCTTTTTCCCTTTAGTTAAAACACCAGGGCATAATTTGGAGATAGATGACCAACATGAAAATCATAAGTTTATGAAATTTAAATCTCTAGAAGCTTCTCCAGAAATGAATACACTGTGTTTAGAGACTTAGTAGGAAAGGGTACTGTTTTCCTTTCTTTGGGAGAAGAAGCTGACACATGGATCTATGCAGTGGGCCTGACAGGCAGCAGCTGTATGAAGGCACCATTCATTGATGCTTTAAATAGAAATGATCAAAAAAGGCCTTTTTGTTAATTTGATAGGTGTGCAGTATTATGAAATTCCTCTGCCTCATTCCCCAAATAAAAGATGACTCTTGACCTGTCTTGACAGCTGTAGGTTTTATTTTAGCCCACATTGGTGTACCCTTCAATGGAAAACTACTTGAAGCTTTTAAAAGGCTGAGAGTATGATTTCTTTGATTGGGTTGGGGGAATTAAGCTGATGTGACTTTTAATATATAAATATATAGAAATTTTACGTTTTGGCAAATGTTTACATAGTAAACAAAAGGGGGCAATGTTAAGAGCATCCTGAAGAAGCTGCTAATACTGGTTTATGGTTGGGCAATGATATTCTGTATCTGTTAAAAACAGTGCATTGTGGGAATACATTGGAAAAAAATAAGTTGATGCCAGATAACTGATGGTCTTACCTATGTATTGTACTGAAAAAATGACAGTTGTTACCAAAACAACTGTTTTAGCTCTGATAAGAAGCTCAAATTCCATATGAAAATCTGTCACTTTGTATGAAGTCTCATTTAACTCTGCAGTTCCTCATTTTGGGATTATAAATAACTCCTTTGTAGAATTTCAGTATTCAGTGATAGAACTTTAATGTTTTACTCTCACAGTGAAAATAAAAGTTACTGGTTTTAAGTGCTTATCCTTTAATTCTCAGCCATTTACATTATGTGAGGTTCAAAGGAAAGATGGACATAAATCTTTCTGGAGAGTGTAATTTCAAATATAATAGTAACTTTCATTTTTGCTTTTCCTTTTCTGCAAAAGAACATGCAAGGTGAATGTGAAGACAGACTTAGCTTAGATAGCAGTGAATGTTCTGTGATAGTTGATACCAGCTAATTAAAAAGTCCGTTTCTATATAGTAATAGCAGTTCTTGAACTACAATCACTGGACTATTTGCAAAATATCAGTTAAAATTGGTTTTCCTCAAGCTTCTTTAAAAAATACCTGAACTGCTTTTGTATGACTCATTTACAGTTGAGTTTATATCTTTCTTTTATTCTGGAAGTAGATTTTCAGTGAGCACCGCCTAGTGGCTGAATAATTTTTTCTTGCTGTAGGTTAGAATTGTTAATAACAGTGAATGTGACTTGGCTTTTCAAACATTCCTTAATTTTGTAAGTGCTAGTAAGTCTGATAGCTGCTCATAGCTGGTATAGATTCCCTTTGTGTAGTGAACCCTTATGCAAGATCTGAGGAATCAAGAATAAAACCACATAGTTTTGGCTACTAATCTGTGCAGTATCTAGATTTTATTGTGGCATGATAACTTCCTGGTTATTTCTAAAATTACTCATTAATATTTGTATTTTGACAGAATTTAGATCCAGAATATGAAAGTGTACTTAACACAGCATTGCAATGGATCTTGAATAGTGGGGAAGATGTTGGCATAAAGTAAGTTGTCTTTATTTCTTAACGTAATTTATTCTAACAGATGTATCATGTTTCATAAATACTGTATGTTTTTGAATAGGTGTTTCAGCAATGACCCTAATGAGATGGATGTCACTAATGTGACAGATGTGAAATATCTGGAATCCACTAGTCCGAAGATGTCTTTCAGGTGTCGTTTTCGCCGTGCATTTATTAATGTAACTCACAGATTATCAATATTGCTTTTGGGTAAGTTAATAAAAAACACCAAACTTCTTTGTTATAACTTACTTTTCCCCATGCTTTTACAGAAACATAGGCATGCTGTTTACAGAAAGTTTTTATTTTATGTAAAACTTAGAGTTTCTGTCAGTATATTGATTACAATGCAGTTTGCTTTGCACTTCTCTTGCACTGCTGTATTTTCAGTTTCGTTGCTATTCAGATGAACATACTTGTTTTTTGGGAACTCTTGTCTTTTTCCCTGCCAAAACAATACCTTGTTTCTTTCAAAAATTCCAGGTTGAACTGATTTGAAAAAGTGAAATGCTCAGCAAAAAGACATGATAACCTTAATTTTGAGACTATTTCACTGTTGTTCCAGGAACTTTGGAAACATAACTACAGAAAACGTGATTTTCCTATTAGGAAAAGTTGGATACCCAACATGGTTGTCACCAAAAATTCTTACCTTTAAGACTATGTTGTAAAAATTTATCTAATCCTTCAGTAGGCATAATTCATTTAGTCTTTGATAGTTCTCTAGTTAAGTTTCATGTTCTTTAACATATATTTAATTGTTAACCATACTGAAAACTATGCAGCATAAAAATATGGTACAGCTGAGTGAAAACACTTGATTCCTTTCCATGTGGATGGTTAGGAATACTGAAGATGTGGAGCTCCTCTCATGCACCTATAGAATATTTGATAAATTGTTTATCCCAGTACCTTATGCTTATGAGCGGAAGACTTGAGACCTTCTTCACTGGTCTTTTGATGAACCAAGAGAATCGAACTGTCCCAGGTTGCTGTCTTTCTGATAATAGTTGACATGAGGGTTGAATTAGGATGTGGAGGTGAAACTCAGTATCCAAGTCAACCACTGGTCTCATCGGTCATGCTGAGCAAATTGCTCCCTGTCTCAACTTTCTCATCAGTAATTAAGGTTAATATGAATCACCTTTTCAAAAATAAACCATGGTATGAATGTTATATATACTGTCATTAACTAACACTCATTTTGGTCTAAAATGGTGTCCCTCAGTCTTAGATGTAAGTTACCCTTACCTTTCAATCACAGGTACGCAAAACAAACTATGTAACTATTGTAACTATAATTTGTGTATGTGTGGGTTTGTGGTGAGGGGTTTTTTCTTTTTTTATACTGTTGAGAGATCACAGGTGTAGTGATACCCTCAAACCAAGATAGAAGAATGAATAAGATTTTTATTTTTAGTTTATGCTGCTGGCCTTCCTAACTAAACTATCCTTTTTGGGAATATATTTTAAAGTATTAGAAAATGAGCATGCAATTAGTACAAATCTGTAGCTGAACTGAAGCAGTCCAGGTTAATTAGTTTTGACTGGTATATCGAAAGCATGTGACTTGTCTACAAATTAGTGAATATTGTGCATTTTTAAGTCTTAACGTGTTCTGAATTGTCAGTTTTTGACTTTTGATATGAATGAATTTTTACATTATTCTACTATTTTTCTTAACAAATGGGTAAAATTTCAAACCACAGTTATGGGATACCAGGCTATTGTTAAAACAATGAAATGTTTTTCAAAAGGTAATGCTCTTCAAAGTTTAAGAGTTTGTGTTGATGTGTTAGTAAAATATAAAATATTGACAGTGAGTAGCTTTGAAATTTAAAGTACTTCAAAATGTTAGCTACTTCAACCAAGTTACCTAGTTTCAGTCAATGTTCTACTGCTGTATAAAGAGTATTATACATCTTAATGCAGGTATAGCAATGGTTTGGGGAGTCTTACACTACATGAAATACCGTTGGGCAAAAGAAGAAGAAGAAACAACGCAGATGTATGATATGGTGGTAAAAATCATAGGTATGGCTTCTTGAGTCACATCTGATGTATCTATAAGCTTTTGCAGTACTGTCATTAATTCACTTATGTTTCCTGCTTAGTTGTCAGTTACCATGCTGTTAGGTTTTGGTCAAATGTGTGGTTCATGTGTGTTCCCTTTTTTAAAAATTTTTTTTTTTAAAAAAATCATTCTTTAAACCTAATCAAAGCTTTTGGTATAAAGATTGTACTTTGTGAATAACATCAACGTGGCTATAATAAATGTCTGTTGACTTGGTGGTATTTTATCTTACTATTGAAAACAAATATAAATGCAGTGTTTAACTAGAAGTATGGTGACATGTTGCTTTCTGTATTTGTTTTTTCAGCTATCTTTAGGTAATCCACTCCTAAGATGTATGTTAGCTCTCAATTCCATTCCTAATGGTTTTTCATAGAAAAAGCAGCTTTTTAATTAGTAACTTTGAACAGAAATTATGTAACCAAAATAGAAAACCTAAATAAGTTCTGAAATTCTGCCTTTTCCTTGAAGTCGCAATGTTTTTGGGAGTTTCTGTTTATAGTTTTTAAGCTATGTTTTGGGCTGCATTTTTACTTAAATTTTCTTACTACTTTTGCCTATGGCAGTCATTGTAAATACAGAGATGGTAGACAAATTGAAGCTGTTTTCCCGTTTTTACCATTTTCCTACCTTTTTTTTTTTTGTAAATCAAGTTTTGTTGGGGTAGGGGGAAAGCACTTTGCTTTCAAAGGTGGCTCTCTTTTCTAACAGTTAAAAGTACCAAGCAAGAGTAACTGCAAGAAGTCTTTTTCTTTATTCCAAAGTTATTTGGGGTGCTTGGAGTCACTGTGTGAGGTTAGTTTTCTTGATTTGCCTTCAGTGTGTTTAGAAGGAAAAATGCTCCAAAATGCCAAAACCACCTTAACTACTGAAACTAGGAGGGGTCTTCAGAGTAGCTATTCATTACCAGAATTGATATTTTTCTTAATGTTTGCACGAACTACATAGTTACTAATTTTTCTTATGGTGTCCTCAGATCTTCTAAGAAGTCACAGCGAGGCTTGTTCTGAAAATAAAGACTTGCAGCCTTACATGCCTATTTTACATGTGCGTGATTCTCTAATACCACCTCAGGACAGGTATGTTTTTTCTAGAAGTACTGAATTTCCTTATGTGTAAATAAGAAAAAATAGTAAAATTTATCAGTTAACTAAGTTAATTTCTGTAGGTTGAGTAGTATATTTTGGAGATTCCTACTGACACAGGGCAGGGGAGGGGGGAAGGCATTGGATTTCTCTTACATGCTGGATGCCACCTATGCAGGTTGCTACAATGCTGATTTTAATTCTTGCTTCAATTTTTAAGGAGGAAAATGAGGAAAGTCTGGAATAGAGCAGTTGACTTTCTTGCAGCAAATGAATCTAGAGTTCGCACAGAGACACGAAGAATAGGTGGTGCCGAGTTCTTGGTTTGGAAATGGATGCAGCCTTCTGCAGCAAGTGACAAAATTTTAGTAATACCATCGAAAGTGTGGCAAGGCCAAGGTATTGAAGTTTAGTTACATATAGTACATACAATTGTTTTAATTTCTGCATCTAACTTCTGAATGGTATTTGGTTGCTTGAACATGAAAGAGTTGGTTTCTCTCACGACTTTAAGTATCGTTATGAACTGTCAGTGCTGTTTATCTTGTTGTTCAGTAGACTTTCTGGGCATTTAGTGTCTGCCTTGTTTTCAAGCAAAATGAGCTTTTCTGTTATAGCTACTGTGGAAATACAGCAGATGGCATGTAGCCAAAATGTGTTGCTTGTTCCTTTTCATGAATTTAAAAAAAAAACGCCAAAGCTCTTTAGTTGGTCAAATTCTGACATGCCTTATGCTTACTGGAAGTAATGTAGTTGGTTATATCTGACACAGGTAAATCAGAGCTTGTAGACTTGAGTTTCCTGCTGTTATCAGTCAGCTACCTAAAGGCAGAGTTTGAAGGGAGAGATCTTTTGTTTATTTTGAAAGGGAAACTGCTGGGACAAAAGACTCCTCAATAGGCAGAACATGGATTTTGAGCACTTCCTGGTAGTGTTTCCTTTCTGTCATAAATGTTTTTCTACACTATGTGTGTTTATTTCAAGCTCTGGAGCAGCAAAGCATTTACTTTAATAGAGGAGGCTGTTATACATGGATTTTACAGTGATCTGTCATTTTTCAGCTTTGTTACAGAGCCAAGTGGCAAGAATATAGTGGGTTTGCAGTTGTCTGTCTGCAGTGGTCTTTTTCCTAGTTCTTTTCCTTTCTGCCTTTCTTCATGTTAAGCTTCAGGGTTTGTGGTGGGTTTTTTTGGTCAGTGAAAATTTGAAGCTATAAGACTTGAATTCTGGATTGCAGTGAAAAAGAATGGTCACTTCTATCAGTGTCTGAGTGTGAAGGTAAATGTTTAAAGTGAAATCTTAATTGCCAGTTGTTTAAATACTGTGACTTTTTTTTAAGGAGTCCGTCTTGCCTTACATTATTCTGTAATGCTGCATTATCTCTCCAGCGGGACTGAAATGAATGCTGTGAGAATCCTAGTTTATAAACTCATCATCTTAATTGATAGTGAGGGGGGAAGGTGTGGTTGCTTCTCCAGTTTTTACTTCAAATTTTAAAATCAGTGGTTATCAAGGTTGTATTGTACTTATATGGCATTGAACTAGATGCTGAAAAAAAACCTATTAAAAACCCAAACTTTCTGCCCTTCTTAGTCTCACTTAAAATAGAACTTCCCACTGGCAAACAACTGCACTCACATATGTTCTTCTGGAATATGCTAATTTGGGTCCTAGTTTAACTAATGCAAGTACTAAGAGGCTTCCTCCTTTTACTTTTTACTGGTATATATTTTTATTTGTAAGAAACAATAGGTTTATTGTTTCCTATAAAATAGGGTACAGTTTAAAGTAGCTCCATCCAATCTGATTATTTCCTTTCCAAAGACTTAGACAGACAGAACTTTGTGGCCTGGAACATTTATGCTGTAGCAAGCTTGACTGCCCAAGTAAAAGTACTGCTAACTTTTTGGTTTTGTCCCAGGCTATTTGCATGTTTTCATAAGTTCTATGTATGCTTTCAGCCCTCAGGTCTTAAATTTTGCTTCAAAGCAAAACCAAACAGTTCTCTCTGTCAACTTGAAAAGTCAAATATTTTGACATGTTTGCAGATATGTGGCATGTTATCTGATCAGGGTCTTCGTTTTGGGACCCATTTTTTGCTTGTTTATGCAAAATGCTAAGTTGGAATATCATTATATACTACTTAAAGTTATGCTACTGGTTTTAGCATTATGTTTCTCATTTTAAATCATTCATTGGAAAGGAGGGCTGCTTTTTTTTTTTAAGTAACTTTTGAATACCTCTGCGGACTTGAGGTTCTGCAGGCATTGTCTTGCAGTAGTAGTAACACAGTGTTCTTCTGTGGTGACAACTGTGTTACATGATTTCCATTTCTCAATTTTAGTTAGTAAGATGTGAATAATAACTTTATTGAGGAAGTGGCAGAGCCTTTTCTTTCTATGACATTGTCCATTAGGGATGTGCAAATGCCTTAGGTGCAGTGCAGAGATATGGTGGGTTTTGTCAACAGGTGTCTCTGTTCCATTTCTGTAATACTGTCATGATCGATTTTCAAACACTCAAATTTGAACATAGCTTCTGCAAGCTATGTGTATTATAAAGCTGAATCTTCTATGTAGTATATTGTTCAATAACAGACTGTGAAACATGACACTCCAGTTCTGGAAGTTATCATTTACTACTCATTTGCTCTGAGTTTTTCTTGTCTTGTTTGGTTGCAGTATAAATAGCTCCATAACATTCTGTCCTGTATTAGAAGTTGGACTTTGTTTTCTTTCACCCAGAAGACTTCTCAGTGTGTGATAGCTCAGGTGCTGCTTTGCTATGTGGAATATGTATTCAAGACTCCCAACGGAAGGCTAGCTTCCAAAACTTCCTAGAAGAACAGCTACTGTTACGTACCATCTGAATTTGAGCATCTGATACCTACTTTAGCATATTATGAGTGTGGACAGAGTAACTATCTCTCAGCTGTGGTTTTTATCTGTTACCTTGCCTGGAGTATATACTTAAGACACTATGCTTTCTGTTGAATAGGATATATTAAGTTTTATACTGTTTCAGTTCTTTTAATAGCAGTTTTCTTAGTTGTTACATTTGTAGTTCAGCAAAGATCTTTGAAGAATTGAAATTGCATACTTTGGCTCTAAAAGAAGGACATGGAAATAAAGGTGGCTGAAGTAAGTGGGTCATTTGGGCTCTGTACATCTTCTTTGGGCTCTTTACATCTTGTTAGTCAGCAAGCAAAGGCAGTTTTCACATGAAAAGACTTTCTATTTAGCTTTCCTTCTTTTCATATGATTGTTGGAAATAGCTGGAATACATAAATCTTACACTTTTTGCACAGCTGTTTCTTTCCTGACATTAGGAATTCTATATGTATGTGTTCGTTCCTACATATTTGAAAGGATAGGTCAACTGGAATTAACTTTGTCCTCCAGTTCTGATGTTTTAATATAGAAATTCATAAATCTAATCTTCAAGACTGCTAGGTCCTGAACAAACTCAGTACATATAAAATTAGAATGAATTGTTTGTTTTGTATTGTGTGAATAAATTGCAAGGTCACAATTTTTTTTAACCTTCTGAGATAAGGTAGTGCTTTGTAGCAGAGCACAATACCAAGAGTGTATGCAATTGAAGAAAGCCTCTTGACCTGTCAGTATAGTGTGTACTAGGATATTAGTAGATGATTGCCTGCATTTTAAATATGGGGCCTGTAGCATTCATGAAGATCAAGGCTCTACTATCTGTTAGCAGCTAGAGTTCAAGCATCACTGTGGCATTTTGTCCTGTCCTTCAGGATGCAGCCTGTATTTTGACAGCTTGGGATCTTTTTCTTCGCTGGGTCAGAATACAGTCCAGTGTACTTTCTTAGAAATATTATCTACTGGATAAAGTAGTTGCATCTGTCCAAAAAAAAAAAAGATAAAGTCACTGTAAGATGATGGATAAATATGTTTTGAAAGCAGCTGACAAGAGAACTGTCAGTTGAAAAACAATCTTGAGCATGCCAAAGTGTAATTTAATCAGTAGGAGAAAAAATACATTTCTAGTGTGTTTGGTTTGCTTTTGAAAGAACAGATGCTATTGTCCTATCATGCCTTTGATAACTAGAGCTCTAAAGAAAAATAGGTAGGCAGAGCTCCAATGTAGCTAAGCTGAGGGCAATAACAAGTTCCTTGACAGCTCTGGAAATGAGATAGAGGTTCTCTGAAGTACCACATCTAGGGTGATATTTCATCCTGCGGAGTGGAAGATAACCTGTTACCTTGTGTGAATGACACCTCTCCTCCCTGGCTTGTGAGAATATAATCCTTTCTCCATGTTACAAAAAAAAAAAAAAAAAAGTTCCATTCTTAACTGTTGAAAGAAAACTCTGGATTTTATACTTGTTCTGTACCCATCCCATGCTGGTTTTCTAAAGCTGAACTTAACTGTATTAAACCCCAAGTCAACCACACTCTTAACATCTAGCGGTATTTTGATTTCAGTATCTTTCCTGTTTACTGAAGAACCTAGTATTGTGTGAAAGTGTGTAGCTTCAACATTTTCAACTAAATGTTTTATCTTTTTGTTCTTGCCTTTGATAAGAAGGTTTAGTACTTAATAAATTAGTGATCTGTGGCTTAACATGAATAAATCTGTTCTAAAGAAATGTGGTTACCTGTATTTGATGCAAGTCTTCAACCTTATCAAGTGCATGAAATCCACATATGAAGATCTGTTGGGCTGTCTTGTAACCTGTGGTGGTGATACTGGGGAACCCCTATAGCAATAATACAGTAGTAATTCAAGAGGTATAGAAAGCTGTACTGCAGTTTCTTAGATACTCATTTTGAAGTCTGTGCAAGAGCAACTTCTTCCATCATACGCCTACTCCAGCCACAGTGATAAAGAGGTTGTTGAAGTACATACTTTTAGCTACTGCTGTTCTTTGAATCTGGAATGATACAGTCATATTCAGTTTAAGGTACTAAAGTATGTTATGATTGAAATATAAAGTGGCTTCCTTTTCATGAAGGTACTCGCTAGTCCCAAAGGGGAATTTATGAAAGTCCTAAAAATTTTCTTGTCAGTGACTTTGTGGTAAGTTGTGCTTCTGCTTTCCTATTTCATCTCCAACTTTTTTGCACTCATCTTGTAAGCCTTACTGTTAAGATCTATTTAGGAAAAGAAATGGCATATGAGGTTCTTGATTAATTATGGTGTTAGCTTAGACTGTTGTCCTACAAGAATGTCTGCTTATGCCCTTATTGTGAGTATTTTTGTATGCTCCACACCAGTGTAAATTTTCAAATAATCAGAACTGTAATCTGAACAGGTGTGTCACTTAAACTTGCTCGTTTGAAGAAAGGGGGAGAATTAATTGTTACAGATGTGTAATGAAGTTCCAGAGACATATGAACTACTCTATTTTGAATTTTGCTGTGTAGGTACAGCATTATTTTTAACTTGCCTGTGTCTTCCCAAGCCTCCCCTTCTGGTAAAATGTATACCATGTCTGCTATACATTTTAATGCTTATTACTGTGCTAGCATTAATTTTGTATCTTATTGGTGTCTGTGGCCATTTTTTTCTCCTTATACATAAAAAGCTCCACCTAAGTCACAAAATTTTCTTTTAATTTACCATGACTCTGAAACATTTTTTGAGAAAAAGCAGAATTCATCTTTATGTGCTGCACTGCCCAGGGTACACTTGCTCTACTAGTATGATGTTACATTAAGTTGGTAGCAGATTAGTTTTGTGCTGGTGGTGTGCTCTGTATGAAGTCAACTCTGCAAGCACCTGAGATCTTCCAAAAGGACATCAAGAGTAATTGAAATTGAAGCAGACAAAGCTTGGTTTTTATAGGTATCTACACTAAAGCATGAATTCTCCATTTAGTTACTTTTGCATAGCTTAAGTGTAGCTGTTGCCTTAAAAGTATGGTGGTTTTGAGTTCATAAACAGCTTGCAGAAATGTTCATCCTCTGGGCGTAGGGTCTCTGCATATAACCTTGCCATACTTTATCCTTGGGTTAAAATCATGTGCTGAAATAAACCTAGCGCGCGCGCGCACACACACACACACACACACAAGTTTTTACTGTATACTCTGTGTATAGTTTCTAATCAAGGGCAAAAAACTTCACAAAACCATGTGCTATTGAAAAAAGACATGTCCTTAAAGGGACATATAGGCAGCTCAGAAATAGATGCAGTGTCACCAGCATATTTAGAAATCTGTTCCCAAGAAAAAACACAGTTGTTAAAGGTGTTGGTGACTTGGATTGTGTATGTGTGTAGAATAAGAACATTTTTAGTTATTTGGGGAACTTACATTAGGTTCCATAGTAGATTTGGAGGCCACCTTTTCTAATTTCTGTTTCGTAATTATGTATTTCTTTGCCTTAGAAATTTACGTAAGGAGCAAGTTTCTCTATGCCATATCTTCAGGCAGTGAATTTTCTTAGTTAGTGCTCATCTTGCACATGCAGTCTCTTTTCACATGACTGAATTTCTTTTATGTGACGCAGTTTTTGTTTGGTGATATACAGAAGAGCAGCAGTGTTTGTGTATTTTGGGTTTACTTGCGAGACGTTATTTTAAAAGGTCAACAGTAGTGTCATCTATGCAAGACTAAAATTTCTAATGCTTGGAACGTAACATCTTGAATCTGTCACACTTTTCCAAAGTAGGGATTGCAGAGGAGAAGCGTTACTGTCAGTTTGGAATATCTTTTTGTCTTGTTGAGATTGTTAGTCTTATGTTTAAACTCTTGAATCTACTCATCTCAAGTTTTCGAAGTAAAACTTCATTCAAGCCTTGGAAGTTACTTTACCAGGTTATCCCCTTCCCTTTCTGTTGCTGCTTTCTTGGCCCTTCCCAAGGCATGGAACTGTCTGAGTCTGAAGGGTTCCATTATTCCTTTTCTCATGGTGCAGTCTTCTGTTGTGACTCCCACAAGTATAACGTGAACTTTAGAGAAGTTAATATTTATTTTAGAACTTCATAATGTATTTCACATGATTGTTCAACTTTGAAAGAGTTACTCTTTTATTTTTAATTTCCATTTTTCTTCTTACATCTGTTTTATCCTCTGGTGGTTTCATTACAGATTTTTGCAAGCTTCTGATCATGTGTAGAGCATTTAGAGTTGCAAAACCTTCATCGTTGGAAGTTGTTACAGCAATACAGATGCAAGACAACATCCATCTGAGCATCTCCCTATTTCTTAGTCAGATGGGCAGTAAATTGCCCCAAAAGTGGAAAAAACAAAAATTCATCAGGCAGTTAAAACTGAATAGTTAACCTGCAGCGCCAGAAATTTGCTCCACACTTTAAGAGTATCTGTCTTTTCATAAAGATGTAATGCAGATACTTTCAGCTATATGGTATTTTCTTAAATATCCTGAATTCATTCCATGTTCTGTGGCCTAGGTATGAGAGAATGCATTATCTTTTTAAATGTAGAAGTTCAGAAAATTCAGTTAAGTATGGTACATCATCTTCAATGGAGTAGAAGACAATGGGGAATATAACTTGCTTGAAGCTTTTTCATAGATGAAGGAAAGTATTCTTTTGAGTAAAACTAGAAAAGTATTGATGTATAAGACTGACACTTGTTAACTAGATGGTATTATGCCTGTCAGTAATTATTATTAAATTTATTTCTCTTTGTAGCATTTCATCTAGATAGAAGAAATTCACCACCAAACAGCTTGACACCATGTCTAAAGATTCGCAATATGTTTGATCCAGTTATGTAAGTAAACCCAGTTATCTATCTGTGTTTCTGTATTCATTTGGAAGGGTCTGTTCCTTTCTTCTGAGAGGGGTTTAGAAGAAGTGAGTAAACATGAATACTGTAAAAGAAACACATGGATTATACAAAAAAAAAAAATCTTCCTCAACATCTGTGAGAAGACATAAAAAAAATCTTACTATCTGTCTTCTGTCCTTTATTGTCTTGTTTTGTGTCTTTCGGTCACTTCTTGAAGAGTGTGGCATTTAGTCAAACTGCTTGGAGCAATGACTGATCTTTCACCATTAATTAATTTTGTAAATGTTCACTTATATCACCTGCTGGGGAGACTCATGTGGCCTGACAACAGACTATTAAGTTTCTGAACTATTTTTAAGTATTCTGGAGTATTTAGACTGTTACAGAGCTTGCACAGTTTCCATTTAAAAGGCTGAATTTAAATAATTTATTACTTTATGGCAGTCTGACTGCCTAGTTTTTAAGCAAGTGGATTTTTATAGTTGGAAATCTTAAACAAATTAGTGCAGAGTACTGGTTTCTAAGGCTCAGATATAATTCTAAAATATGTACTGTGTATGAGTAAGCCTTGCTTCACATAGGAAGAGTTAAAGTAGTATAATTTTTTTGTAGTCTTAAAGCTTCATCCACTCCATTATCCTGTTATACCCCATTGAGTGTGGACTAGATCATGTTAGGAGTTGGGGATTTAACACAGGTTATGGCAGCTAATCCCTTCTAATCTTTGAAGCCTGGTTTGTCCAGTGTAAAGATCATGGACCCGAGTAACTCCTCTGAAGTAATTTATTCCCTGATGTGATTATATAAGGGAAAAATAAAGATGTTATACTGTTTTACAGAATAAAATTGAGATGCTTGCTGGAACTGAAGAATTGAGAAGTTGAGTGGAAAGCTATGGATTAGAATAGGGAATAACAGGAAGTAGGAGGGGACACTGGAGTATGGACACAAGTGACTGCACAGTTTGGCTATATTTCTTCAGCTCTGTTTCACTTCTTTTTCTAACCACACTTAATTACTTTAGTTCCTTGCCTTATTACTTGGAAATGTTAGCTAATTTAACTGAGGACAATGTTATCCCTAGCACAGAGAAGTACTCTAAAAACTGTTCTTCTCAGCACCTTTAAGACTTAATGGCCATTGTGGGCAGAGACCCCAACCATGGCTTCTTTCACAACTTTCAGTAGGGTGAGCTACACTGAATTTTAGGCATTGTTCTTGAGGCAAGTTGATCCTTCTGTAGGAGGATGAAATAAAAGATGAGATTTACTGAGAATTTTGGGTGAGATCAACATCCTTATTGTCTTTGCTACAAAGGAGACTTAATGAGCTATATTAATCAGAGCAGTACTGAAATGAATTCATTCCTGAAGTTTCACTTTAATATTTATTGGTATGCTCTGTTGGTTACTTTCTTGTTTCAAAATGTTAGCTGTTCAAATTGTCTGCTGTTAATGGAACTAGTAACTGAGATGTTATTTTTGTCAGAACAACCTCCTGTTATAGGCTATATCTTTGCTGTAAACTTCAGTGGTTTTTAGTACTGACCCAATCTGTGCCCTGCAAGGGCATTTAAAAAAAAAAAAACAAAAAAAAAAACCTACAAGTTGTTCTCTTTTGACACTTCTCTTAACTGTCTGTGTCTGGTCAGCTGTTTTGAACAGTGTAACTTCTAATAAATTCACTGTTTTGTAGACCTTTTCTTTTGGAAGTTTACCTAGCTCTGTTGCTGGAGTACTGGATTATAGTCATAGTGGGATACTTCTCAATTCCTTATTGCATACCCCAGCCCATTCCTCTTCTGTGAGCTGTCTTGCAGAGGACTGATGCTAAAGAAAGTACTTTTTGTCACATGCTGGGAGCAATCTTAAAAAACCCCAAACAAAAATAAACCTCAAAACCTGCAGTGCAAGACAAACTCCTTTATTCAACTGCTTGTGTCAAAAGAGGACGGAGGTTTATGTTCCTGTCCCAGATCTGAAAGGGATGAATGCCCTCACTGACCACCTGAAACAGAATGTACCAGTGTATGTGATTACATTGTCAAGTACTGGTTTAGACATCCATAGGCATGGGTGCAAGGTATGTTTAACAGAATTAGTTTTTAGCTGCTTTTTAAATCAACCTATTGTATGCTAACAATAACTAAGTATTTTTCAACAATGTGCCAGTAGGTGGTAAAAGCAGCCATCAATAACAGGTCTTTTGACCTTAGAATCATCTGGGGAGTGTACCAGTTAATTTGTATTTATCAGTGCTAACAGAGTAAATAATCATCTTTCTACTGCCAAAAGTCAGAAGACTTACCTGGACATTGTGAACCCTCAGACTACAGCAACCGATTTAAAGTTGGGTGCATGTTCTAGGCATTTACTATGCCAGACAGAAACCTTTTTTAAAATACCAGTCTAAGCATCATTTGGATAAGCCTGTTTTAGTGTTTCTGCATCTACCACTAGGTGAAAAGAATGGTTCATAAAGCATAAGTAGTACTACTGCAAGAGCCGTATTGATAGCACATACACTTGCATGATCAGGGAACAGGAAGTCATTCCTTTTGGGGGCCTATTTCATTATGGGAAATCCACTTTAATTGATAACTCATGATGTTTCATGTCCCAGGTCTGCAAAACACAAAAAAGCAGACTAGGCTGAGAATGCACTTCTGCTTGGTGTTTAAACAGGAAATGAGCACTTGGGAGTAATGCAGTGAGTTCAGTATTTGCAAACAGTACACAGCAGAAAAGATGATTGCTTACTCTTAACAATATGTTCTCTTCTTATGGTAGCTGCCTTTCTGCTGATGACAGCATGCTTCTCAAGAAAATCTGGACACGAGTCCTGGTTTGGGAGGGAATGCACTGAAATCAAAATTTCATAGAATCAGAATAGTTTATGTTGGAGGGGAACTTTAAATGTCCTGGCTTTTGCAACTTGGAATTACTTTATTTCCCTAATATCCTGAGCGCAGCATGTTACAAAATATGATTGTTTACACTGTTAGAGAAGGGGAAGGAGATCATATTCCTTTCATTTTGAGTTATCTAATAAAAAGAAAACACTTTGTCCAGCCTGAGTAGGGTGCACCTTCTCTTAAACATACAAGGTTTTAAATTGTAGGTGTTTTCTACTGGCCAGTCTCCCTCCTTATAGGACCTTAATTTGGAACTTCTTTGCAGCCTTGTGTCCCTCCCCCACTTTTGTTTGCTTGTTTATGTATGATCTGCATGTTTAAGGAGTATCAACTGGAAAGCGATCCTCTGACCAGTCAAGGTCAAATGACAGAAACAAACGCTGACATTCTGTGTTGCCAGAGTCCTTCAAATATTGTGTTAGTGCCCTGCTTGAGAGATTTAAGTAACATCCCTGACCGATTAAATCCCTATGTACATTCCATCCCTCCACCATGTTTTGGGTTTTTTTTCATTAATAAGGAGGAAGGTAGATTAAATATTTCAAGAATTCTGGCTTTATGTAGAAGAAACTCTTTAAAACTACCCAAAGCTCTTGATAGTATTATTGAAAGAGTAAGTTCATTGTTTTTTGTGTAAAGACTATTCAAGCAGGCTTAAAGGTGTATTAAGGCTTTTGGAATTGTTTTCCTTCTGCTTAGATTTATTTTACTAGAACCAGATAGTTCCTGCAGTACCTTCACAAAATTACATAGACTTTTGTATTCTCTAATGATGTATGGAAAGATTGATTAGTCTTGACAATAAAATATTTTTTGTGAAAAGCTCCCAAAACTAGAATCTGAATTTAATAACTTCTATTTCTGGATCTATTTTAGTATGTTCTATCGGTACCCTTCAGGATGAATGTAATTTGATGCTTTGTTTGGGATAGTGAACAGCTATTTCAGTGATGAACAGTGTCTGCTGTTAGCTAAAAAGCTCCTCCAGCTTGCTTCTCCACCTTGCTGAAGCCTGACATGTAATGTTGCTTCTGCGACTGCTGGTAGAGGTGATACAGTAAAGGGGAAGAGGGCTTTAAGCTGTTGTCTTCCCCTGCTCTTCTTCCACTGCAGTAGGAACAGCCTAGGAGCGGCCTTCTCCTTGGAACAACGGCCATCCCATCCGAGCAGATATGGGAAGGCGAGTTTATGACTACTTGCAGTTTCAGACAGGAAGGTGATGGCAGCCTGCTGGAAGGGGAGGACAAACTCCCCCGAATACAGATTATTCCTTTTGATTATTAGAGTTGAATTTTCTAAAGTGGACCGTAGAACACAGTTTACTGAATATTCAGTAGGTAAAGTACTAAATCTGTCCCAAAGGCATTTAACAGAAAATGATGTCAATTTACAGAGAGACCAAACTCAGCAGGGAGGGATGAGATTGTTCTGAATGTTGAAAGAAATATGTGCTTAATTAAATGTTTAATTGTTTGCATAGGGAGATAGGTGATCACTGGCATCTAGCAATTCAAGAAGCAATCTTGGAGAAATGCAGTGATAATGATGGAATTGTTCATATTGCTGTTGACAAAAATTCACGTGAGGTGAGTGTTTTTCCAGTAACATCTTAATGCTTGGTTTATCCTTGTCTGTTGGACTTTTAAAAACCACCCAAACCTCTCTTTCTTAATACAGGGTTGTGTATATGTCAAGTGTCTCTCTCCAGAATATGCTGGAAAGGCTTTCAAGGCATTACATGGCTCTTGGTTTGATGGTAAGGAATGGGGGTTTATAACAAAGCATGGGTAGAAATGACAGAAGACGGGTGCAAGTTGGAGTTCTTTTAAATGGTGAAATGTTTTATATCTAAGTATTGAGCTGTAACAAAACCCGTATCTCTTCAGTAGTCATCACCTGGGAAGTTAATTACAGTATAATGACGTGTTTGTGTATTATGTCCTGAAACAAAATGTAGTAATACTGAACTCGAAGGTTTCTCTTTTCTTATTTCTTTGCCTCAGGAAAGCTGGTAACAGTAAAATACCTGCGACTAGATCGATATCATCATCGTTTTCCCCAAGCTCTTACTTGTAACACTCCACTGAAGCCATCAAACACACACATGAACTCTATGTCACATCTGCGTCTTCGGACGGGCACAACTAATTCTCAGGGAAGTTCCTGAGAAGACTTTCTACAATTGGTAGGACTGTTACTTGCAACAGGAATTTTCCTGTTTGGCTGCCGTCTTCCTTTTTTAGTGCTTTTTGTATGTAATACTTTAATTAAATAAAAGTTTGAACGTTCCAAAAATCTTGTTTCCAAAGGGACTTAGCAATGAGGCAGTAATACTGAGCTGACAAAAAAGAAAAGAAATTGCCTCAGGAAGTTTTCTGGGGCTATAGTAAACCAATGCATTTAAGTTTTGCATGAGGAATACCGAATTCATTATACATTTGCAGATGTGGTGACTGTATTTTTGCACCAAGAAGTGTTTTTAATAATACAAAAGCATGGAGAAGAGATGACTTCCTGTATTTCCATAGTTTCCTGTGAAATAATCTTGTGGGTATTTTGTAACAAACAACCTACAGTTCCTGATGGTGAATAAGTTAAAGAAATTTTTTTCAGTCAATATTAGTTTTTTGTTGCTGTATAAGAATCTTTTTCTGCAGCTAGGGTATGGGGAAAGTTAATCTGGCATTAGTGGTTGCATATAAGTGTGAGGGAAAACGAACTGAATGCGGACGTGCTACAGTTTGTATATAAATGTAAATGCTGGTGGCGGCAAAAATGGTTGTGTTCTGTGAGGATGTCTGCATTGAAGCAGTGAATAAGCTTCCTATTTTATTCAAAACCTAATGTTTTATATGGTTTTGGCTTTACCGTGACAAGAAGCCAAATACCTTAAAGTGTTAGATACAGGTTAAATATCTTTTATAGGTTTTATATTAAAGTACCTGACTGATTTTGTGTAAAAGGTCTGATACCAATTGTAATGAATTCAAATTTGTGAGCAATAAAGAAGCAATTGGCAGATACTGGAAAAATATTTTGTGAAAAGCTGTATTTATTATTACAATTGCCAGGGCTGTGACAAAATACCATTGGGATGAAGTGACTTTCCCAATACATTATAACTTGTTTTAATGAACCAGTTACCTGTTAAAATTTTAAAAGGTACATACTTCCTTGCAACAATTTTGGCTGATGCGAACTACAACTACAGCTGATAGCAAATCTTGTGATTCCAAGCTTGTAAATTTACTAACATTTACCTAAAGTACAAAATTGTTGCTGAGAAGCTTAGTTGCAAATCTAAAATTACTGGCTTTACTAATTGCCATTCTTACAACAATTCTATGTAGTTATCCAGCTGAATATCCTGTAGGAGGTGAGACTGGAAGCACACCAGTCCTACGAATTTTACTGAAACTCACTTTACTTTGTAGATATGATGGATTTGCAGCATGAACTTGCACAAATAATGCACGTTTTTCTTATGGTTAAGTAAACATGATGCACACTATTCTGCAACAGAAAATCCTATTGTGCCTTACCTTTGTGCTTTTGTGGGCACCATGTTTATTATTGGAGAGTTTGTTAACCGAAAAGTTTTAAATCCTCAGTTTTATGTCTCAGATGCTAATGAATGAGTATATATAATATATAATCAGCCATGCAGAATTCTACTTACCAAGGACAAGTACATATTTTTGATGGGTAAGTAGATTGTGCCAGGTCTGGTAGATTTTGAGTTTTACTATATACATATATGTATATGTATAATATACATGTATATGTATTATATATATGTATATAAACTAATTTTGTTGTATTTGATGTGCATCATAGTGATTTGTTAAACTGACCTTAGTGACCCCATCTTGTGACCTGTTGCAAGAGTGAATGTAAAAATAGTTGTGGCATTTTAAAAGGTCGCCTCGATGCAAATGCATCTATCTTGCTTCTAAAATATATTTCTTGTAAACACTGTACATTTTATTATTGTAACATGTACTATTATGCAGCTTATTTTACCTTAAACTGTTAAGTTGACCAATATCCCTTCCTGCAAGACAGATGGGAAATGTGTACAATACCTGAACATTTGAGAAAAATCAGATGTTTGTTGTAATTTGTCACTCTGTCCTGTAAAAAAAAAAAACCAAAAAAACAAAACAAACTCAAATTAAAGGTTTATTAGGGGTTTTTATATGTGTCTCACCTTCTAGATATTTGGATGTCTCTAACTTGAATGCTTTTTTTATCTATGGAGGAGGGGAGATTCATTGATCATAGCCACTTAACTTTCAGTGTGTGTTGGGGTGTGAAGCTGAACAGGTGCTACTGTGAGATGAAATGCACAACCAAGCTTCACTTAAAGTCTGTCAGCTTGAAAATTGCCCAGACTTTGTATCTAGTGTGTGCAGAGGCATTACCTTGGTTTCTCAGTCCAGGGGAGGCCATGTCTGACCTGTTAAACAACAGATGTGAAGAGTCTCACCCTTAATGTTTTTCATCTTATTTCTTGTATTTTTGAGATAGAAAAAGTCCTCAAAGGGATTTTGATAGACTAACAGAAAACATAAGCTTTTTTTTTCTGGCATTACATTTATACTATGCTGTTGATGATTTGTATTTCAAGGGTTGTGTGGTAGGAGAACCAAATAATTGTGTGCAAGTCATAGAATGATCATAGAATGGTTTGGATTAAAAGGGAACTTAAAGACCATTTAGTTCCAACCCCACTCCCAGGGGCAGGTTTTCTATTAGACCAGGTTCTTCAAAGGCCCATCTAACCTGGCCTTGAACACTGCCAGGGCGGGGCATCCATAATTTATCTGCGCAACCTGTTCCAGTGTCTCACCACCCTCACAGCAAAGAATTTATTTGTTCTAGCTAATCTAAATCTACCCTCTTCTAGTTAAAAACTGTTACCCCTCATCTTATCCCTACACTCCCTGATAGAGTCCCTTTCCCATCTTTCCTGTAGGCCTCCTTTAAGTACTGGAAGGCTGCTGTAAAGTCTCCCTGGAGCCTTCTCTGGGCTGAACAACCTCAGCTCTCTCAGCCTGTTCTCATAGGGGAGGTGCTCGAGCCTCCGATCATCTTCATGGCCTCTTCCAGACTGCTCCAACAGCAGGTCTGTGTCTTTCTTGCACTTGGGGGGGGGCGGGGCAGGCGGCAGAGCTCAACACAGTACTCCGGTGGGTGTGTGTATGTGCCTTACATGAACAGAAGGGGAGAATCACTTTACTCGACCTGCTGGCCATTCTGTTGATGCAGCCCAGGACACAATTGGCTTTCTGTGCTGTGAGTGCACATTGCTGGCTCACAGTCAGTTTTCCATCCACTAATACCCCCAAGTCCTTCTCCGCAGGGCTGCTCTCAATCTGCTCATTGCCCAGCCTGGTATTTGTGCTTGGGATTGCCCCAACCCATGTGCAGGACCTTGCACTTGGCCGTGTTGAACTTCATGAGGTTTGCACAGTCCCACCTCTCAAGCCTGTCAGGGTCCCTGTGGATGGCATCCCTTCCCTCCAGCATGTCAAGTCCATTACTTAATGTGCATTTTTTTCCCGGCTCAGTTATAGCTCTTCCTTGTGGAAGGGGAGGGGGAAAAGGGAGAATTTTACTATAGTTTTCTCCTTTTTTTTTTTTTTTTTTTTTTTT